AATTGGACTGTGAAAAGAAGTGTGTTTTATTTCATCTGTATTTCAAATCCCTTGCAGATTGTGTTCCCCAACTAGTTCACTAATTGTTGAGTGAATAAATAACTGGATGCATAGATAAGTTAATTTGATTATAAAAAGTTCCAAATTGTCTACTTATAACCAACTTAATTTTGAAGCACATAAAAAGTACTATACTTTTTAAGTTAGATCTCGAGCCAAAGCCCAGTTGATATTTTTCTTTTTCTTAGCAAAAGGAGTTTAATTCACAAGGTTTATATGTGAAATCAATTTTTGAGCAGTATCTCTTTCCTGTGAACAGTGCAGTATATCATGTGAAGGGCATTTTCAATTATTTCACCCTCCCCTTAACCCTCACTGCCACCCCTAACCTGAGTCACTATGAACTTGGAAAGCCTGGCTTTTTTTTTTCCCGTAAGAGGATTTACCTGTAAGAATCACATATTTTTCTCAAGGTTGGAGGTGAACACTTTATTCATCAGGCAGTTTAACACATTCTTTTTCAAGTTACTTCCAAGTGCCTACCTTCAACAAATGGTCTTAGAAATGATGTTCAAAATAAACTTCAATAGTTCACTTTTGACTCATTTCCAGTCCTATTCCTAGGAAAGGATTTATTGACTTAATGTGTTAGTTCAGGTACTCTGCAATGTGTTCACCAGAATGGAATAGGACAATAGATCTCCTTGAAGAGTAAAGGGCAGGGGAGCAGGGATAGGCAAGGAGAGCCCATTGACTGCCAAAAGGTCTGACACCTGTGAGAAAAGACCAGAAGGAGAGGAGGGTGGCACAGGCAGCCATCAACCAGGTTGATGGAAAGTCATCAAACCAAAGGCTCCGAGAAGAGTAGAAATAGCCCTACCATACATAGAAATTTGCAGGTGGAGATGTGGCATCAGCACAGATGTCGTTGGAGGTTCTGATGGGTGGCAGCTGGAGCTGGGAGTCCATTCTCTCTGCAACAGGCTACCTGAGAAGTGCCTATTCATAGCTGTAACATGTGGTTCTGAGGAGAGAATACAGAATTGTGCCTTTTAGGATAATTAATTTTGACTATTATTACATTTTTATCCTCAAGGAAAATAAACCTACTTCTAATCATTTAGAGATTTAAATGCTATTTGGTCATCAAGTATAATGGGGAAGAGCATTACACTAACAAAATATTTCTTACTTAAGATATTCCTGTATATATCTTAGAGGACTTGGAATAATCTGTCATCATAACTCAGATGTCATTAGCTTATATTTACATTTAATGCCCTCAATTTATTTATTCATTTTTAATGCCCTCAATTAAAAAAAAACTAGTAATCATTCATTAAATGGCCCCAAATCCCTAATTTAATTAGGGTTTCTCATAGATAACAGACCTTGGCAGTATTCTGACATAAATAAATCCCGTGAAATACTTTTTATATAAATTGAAGCAGTGTACTCTGCGGGGAAACATTGTACTAGTAATCAGAGCTTAGATTTTAGAGTCAGAATTGGATGGATCTGTGGTGCTTCTGATAAGTAATTGCGTATTTCGATCTTCTTTCAATGTCTATTAAATAGAAAAAAATACCTACTTTTTAAGGTTTTGAGGATTGTTTAAGATACATTTTGTAAAGAATGTAGTGCAGTGTTGAGCAAATAGTACTCAAAAAATATACACTTGGGAGTCCAAGCATTGTTATCAGTTTTATCAAGATACCTTATTAAATTATAAGTTGGTATTTGTAGAAATTAGTATATCTCAAAAATTATTCAACATTTTAATAAGCATCTCTAACTTCTTAGTTGACAAATGGGGACATTAGTAATTCATATTGTTTTGTATATTATATGTATTATATACTGTATTATGAAAAGTAGGCTACAGAAAAGAATATGTGAGAAAATCATAAGGAAGATTTGCCATATATTTACCATACTGTACTGTGTTAATTGATACTGTGAGTTTCATACTGTGATTTTGCCATGTATTTACAGGATACATTGCCATTACCTATATCTATATTATCCTATATGATTAAAAATACTGTAGATTTTATATATAATGCTAACAATATAACTCAAAAATAGAAGATAATCATAAAAAGAAAATTATACTTATTTACAAGTATAATATCTCATTCATTAATGATAAAGTAGCAATATGAATGTGTTATGGTAGCCTAATATAATCAATACAATTGCTTCATGGTAGTCTAGCCTATATACTAATAAATACATTGATATAAACTTTTATGGATACTGTATTACAGTCACACTGATGATACAATATTGAAAATGTTACTTTTTTTAAAAAAACACCTGTGACGACAGACTGATATACAGTTTCTTGAATTATGAGAGAGAGAGACTCCTGGATGGTAATTTAATTCTCTAAAAGCAAAATTACAAAACATTAAGAAAACTGACACATTATATTGAATATTTTTCACCTCACACCTATGTAAAGATAGGCTATCCATTTTTATACAAGCCTTGAACATAAGGTCCTACACACTGAATACATGATAATTATGATGACGACTCAAAAATGTCTCTTCCAGTTCTTGCTGTACAGTTACTTGATTTTCACATGAAGACAATCCCATACACAAGAGATGTTTATTAACTGTAAGGCATGATGCTTACTTACTATTCATTAAGTGGCAGTGGAACATGTTAATGGTCTTCATCCTTGTCATTGTCACCCTGAGTAGCTGAGGAGGAAGAGAGGTGGTTGGTCTTGCTGTCTCAGGGGTGGCAGAAGCAAAAAACAAAAAGGGGGGGAGTAAATAGAAGGGAAGGCAGGAAATGCAGGCACACTTGGTATAACTTTACAGATGTACACTGTAATTTCTATGTGGCTTTTTGCTTTTTAATTTCTCTAAAAATGTTTCTGTACAGAACTAAGCTATCTTCCACCTTTTGCTTTAGTTTCAGCACTTGTACCATAGATGGGTCCATGTTGTTAAAGAAGTCAAAGTAGTCTGGACAGAAAGAACCCTTCTTCCATATTGTCTAATGTCAATTTGCTTCTGGTCACTGCTTCTGTTTTTTGTTTTTTGTTTTTTTTTTTCTTCTCCTCATCTGGCACTGGTCCAAAAGTACTCTTCTCCATCAAGTCACTCTTCTGTTAATTATGCTGGTGTGGTGTCTATTAGCTCTTGTATTTCTCAAAGATCATATCTTGAAACCCATCACTCCCAATCATATTTGCCATATTGACAATCCCTAATGATTGCCTCGATTGGCTCTGTTGTAATTCATGTGAAGTCATACACAACATCTGGACACACTTTTTTCCGGGAAAAAAAATGTATTTCAGTCTTTCTAGCTTTCATGGATTTTTCTCTAAATACTATGGCATCTTCATTGGTGCAACCCCTCGATACTTAGAGATGTTGTGTTTGGGGGCATGTAGACTACTTTGGTGCCCATGGAGTTGAACTTGTGGGGTTCTGGGTGGCCAGGGGCATTGTCCAATATCAAAAGAACTTTAAAAAGTGTTCCTGACAAAACATCAGTGAAACTGATCCAGAAAACTGGTTCTCATTGTCCAGGTCGTCTTGTACAACCAAAAGACTAGTAGATGATGGTTATCTTTTCCTTCAAGTCTGAAGGGTTAGTAGCTTTACATAAAGGCAGTCCTGATCATAACCCAGACTGAATTTGCTCAAAACAGTAGAGTTAGCCCATCCCCACCATAAACCTTGTGTTTGCTTCTCTTCCTTACTAGTAAGTGTCCTTTGTGGAATTTTTTCCCCCAGAATACGATGCTTTCATCTGCATTAAAAACCTGTTCAGGACAATATCCTTTCTCTTCAGTCATTATCTTAATGGTGTCTTGTCTTAATGGAACTCATCTACTGCCTCTTGGTTGGCAGAAGCTGTTTCTCCTGTTAGCTTGACATTTTTAAGCCAAACCTCTTTTTAACATTATCAAACTATCCTTTGCTGGCATTACATTTTCCAGCTTTAGATCTTTTACTTCCATTTTGCTTTATGTTATCATGTAATGATTTTGCTTTTTCTCAAATCATATTAAAGTCTATAGGTATGTCATTCTTATAGCAATCCGGCATCCACATAAAATCTGCTTTTTTAATATAAGATAAATTATATAATCCAGGATAATGTCCTTATTTTAAAATCCATAACTTAAATTATATCAGCAAAGTTCACTTTGCAATATTATACAACATATTCATAGATTCCAGGGATTTGGGAGTAGAAATCTTTGTGCAGACATTATTCTGTTTATCACACTCCAGAAACAAAATCACTTAAAATAGTTTATTTATTACATATTCATACATTTGCACTTAAGACTATTAAATAGAGCCCAGCTTGCATCAACTTGTTCTGTATTTTTTGTTTTTATTGTTTCTTTTTATTTTTGACTGCATCTTTGGCAACAAAGATTATGTTGCATTTTACTTTATTCTATCCAGTATTTTGAAGAGCAGAAACCTCTTTTTAGTCATAGTGGTACAGTGTTTCTCAAATGAATGTCTCTTCCTCTCAAAATTGGATTAAGACAAAGGAATCTTAAGTTTCAGTTTTGTTGAGAAGTCATGTTTTGGGGCACCTGGGTGGCGCAGTCGGTTAAGCGTCCGACTTCAGCCAGGTCACGATCTCGCGGTCCGTGAGTTTGAGCCCCGCGTCAGGCTCTGGGCTGATGGCTCAGAGCCTGGAGCCTGTTTCCGATTCTGTGTCTCCCTCTCTCTCTGCCCCTCCCCCGTTCATGCTCTGTCTCTCTCTGTCCCAAAAATAAAAAAAAAAAAAAAAAGAGAAGTCATGTTTTTTCTTTGGTGATAACAGTGTTCCAATCCCATTTACTTCCTTCTCCTATTAGGTGACGAGAAAGAAAAAAGTTTTTGCCTCATGCCACCCTACCCCCCAGTTTTTTGTAAGAAAGAATTTTTTGGTACTTATTCAAGTACTGTGTTTGGCACTTAAAATGCATTTCTTGTTGTTGTTGTTGTTGTTGTTGTTGTTGTTGTTACTTTTAATGACTGGAACAGAACATATCTAAAACCACAGCTTTTGGAAGGACCATTTGTTCTTGCTGATCTTGTACCTCTCCTTGAACTTGATCTTGGCCTCTTGTTGGGCCTTGCATTTAAGAGCAAGGACTCTGAAGACATCCTTCTTGACCACAGTCTTGTCCCAGAGGATATCCACAGAGTGCCTTATGGGCATGAAGTGACTGTAGTTATAAACTTCCACAAAAGACTTGATCTTTGACCTTTTGGTGATTTTCTTCTTGCACATGGCAGCGGTCACTTTGCAGGGATAGCAGTCAATTCCAGCCACCAGGGCATGGCTGTAGGGATGGTCTGAGGTGCCATCATCAATGTTCTTCACAATGACCGCTTTGTGTCCAGAATAGCGTCTGGTCCAGACTGGCACCACCTTCCTGACACCAGCCCATCTCGACACCAGCCACTCAGGCCACAGCAGAAAGGAAGTTAAGATGCTTATTTCAAAGAATATGCAACTGCCATATTTAAGTTTCTTTATCTAAAAAGTGAGAATTTAAAATTGGTACCACTATTCTTATCACTTTAAGGACAACAAAGTCCTTTGAATATATCAGAAATGGGTGTGTGAAAATTTACTTCCACTGCTACCTTCTTGCACAGTTTCCTCATGCTTCTCAGATTATAACTTTGCTTGCATCTAATCATAAAACAAATTTTGAGAGACGGAGAGAAAATATAAATTCTGTAACTCTTCTAGCATTCATGGATGAAATCTTTTGTAGATTAAATACTGCATCATACTCCGTGAATATTTAATTAAAATAGTTATTGTCAGTTTGACTTGGAAAAACATTTTAATTCATTGGAATATGGGGTTTTGATAAATGTGAGGATGTTGGTAAAATTATACAATGGAATTCTTACTCAATTCCAAATTTTGAATTAAAAGCACTCTTAGAGGTACCATTAAGTACAGTTATATTGCATTATAACTGTATTGAGCATAGTTTGTTTTACATTTATCAACTCATTTGTTCCCCCACATCAACCACGGAGTGAGAAGGCAGTAAATTGCAAGGTATTGCTTTTCCAACTCAGAAGATCTGTTTAAAATGCAGATTCTGAATCACTAGTTCTGGGATCTAGACAGCTTTTCTGCATGTCTAACAAGCTCACCAGTCACACTGATATTGTTCCTTCAGGGACCATACTTTGAATAGCAAAGTCCTGAAAAAACCCATTAAACTCAACGTCTGGAAATGTAAACTTTAGCCTCAGCTGTAATTTTTCAGTTGACAACATAAAGCAAATTACTTTATCTCTGAGCTGAGTCTTTTCACTTCTAAAGTAAAGGTATTTGAGTTATTATTCTGTGATTTCTTTTTATTAATTAAGAAACTGCTGATCACAGAGGTAAAGAAATTTCTCAAATTCACACATTAGTGACAACTCCTGTTTTCTGACAACTGCAGGTTTTCTGATGGTGGTTAAAGCTTTTCACTTTACCATACCAGTAACAGAACCTGAACCCATTTATATAGAGCATCATGCCTGAAAATAAGAGAAATCATGCAGAGCTATTTTACAAGATACCTTGAGAAATTTTTGTAGATTGAACTGTTATTACTTTAATGGATTTTATATTTTTCATGCTATATCAATAGTTTTCCCTTTTATTTATTTCCACTATTTATTATTTTTATTCCATAGACCTTTCTCCTACTTTTAAACAACCCTTGACCAAGTGATAGCGGCACCTTTAAGCAAAGCTATTCTTCACAGCAGTCTTATATCAATGCCAGCTGTGATTTCATTTATATTGAATCACTGTAATTCCTGAAACAATTTATAAAGTTTTGCAACCCTGATTTAAACTTAAATTTTCATGAAATAAAGGTACATGTAGACCATATTCATCTGTATGTTTCTATTTTTCATTTTTGTGACTAAAGTTGGGCTTGTGGATATAAACTTCCTGGCATTCCTTCACTGAGTAGTAGAACCTTCATTCTAAAGCAAATGTGGATAAAAATCTGAACATGCTTGCTTGCAGGTGTATTGGGTATCTCATTAGCATTGCACTTATTACCTCTTGCAATCTACATGACACTGTTTGGGCATGGATAAACAGGTGCACATGGGCATAGGACCAAATCTAAGACGAAACACAAGTGACCAGTGTGCTTCTACATTTTTAGGCCAACTGGTAGTTTTTTATTGACTACAGATGGTTACTGACTACACAATAATAAGCTTCCAGTTGACTGATTATATTTTTAAGTTACCCCAATTTTTTTTCTCACAGCTAGGAACTCCAATTTATACTCAGGATAAATTTTAGCCCATATGACAGCCTTATAGCCCAGATGTACCCTTGAAGTCAGTGGAGATTTCAATCCTCATTTACAGCTGAAGACTCATTTTCATATTTTAAGAGCATGAAGAAATGAGCCAGTTCAACTCTCCTCATCTTTCCCAGAGTTCTTCCCCGATTTTTAAATGTGTGCTTTCTGGGGCTCAAATGAATGCACTGCAGGAGACACAGAGTCAAAATACATATGTAAATTATTTTATTTTTGGAACATTTCTTACAGTAGTCTTGGCTGAGAAAGTGCCTCATTAAATGCATCAAATGTGTTTTAGGTGTCAACTCTTTATTCTATACTAAACTACTTGATGTAGTGGCCACACACATAAACACAAACACACACATATGCACACACACATTAATACATCCTTTATTCTCCAGTGTTAAATAGTCATGAAAGTCCAAATGAATAAATGTAGAGTAATAAATAATGTGATAGAAAGTGTAAGAAATATCTGAAAAAATACTATTTAAAAAAACTTAAAGAATGGGCAATACTCCTTTTAATATGGTGATAGAAGAGTACAGGATAAAAGGTTCTGGTCTTTACTTCAGGTATAATATTCAGGAGCAAAGTTGGAACATTCTGTAACAAGTTAGTAATGTAAGTAGGCACTGCATTTGAAAATACATGATTTGGCTTCTAAGTTAAATTAGACAATATATAGATCTAATAAGATCTTGGCTGATTTATTCCACTCCCAACTTTGGGCAGCATTATCTTCATCTGTAAAATAAAGGACTTTTATTTAATCATCTCTTAATTCTCTTATATAACCTAAAATTCAGTAATGATTTTAAAAGCTATTGAAAGCACTTGTAAACATTGTTACTCCTTCTTCTCTCAGATCTCTACTTTCTGTGCATTTGCTCTGTCTTTGTGGTATTTTATAATATTTGACAGATTTGTATTTATATACTTCTTAGACAGCAGATTGTAAGCTCCATAACAGCAAGGCTTTACTTAATTTGTTTTATCCTCAGTATCTGGCAAGTAGTACACATTCAGTAAATATCCTGTTAATAAGTGATTACATAAATCAGTAAACATCTTCCAATGAAATGAATCAATATACATACATATATATATATATATATGAAAACTAACAGCCTCATTCTGTTTTATCCTGACACACTTTTCCAAAATGAGAAAAAAATACCTAACACGTAATTTGAATTGTATCTAGTTAAAAAAGAATAAGTATCTTATAGTCCAAAAAGTCAAATAAATAATTCAGTGTGCATCAGACAACGCACTGGTCTTTTTTAATGCTGCAACTTCTTTTTTTCTGATATGTTGACAAAAAGGTTAACAGGAAGTAAATTGATCATTCATATTAAAGTAAACCCTTGCTTATAAATAATACAATGAAGTAGATATTTTTTCTCAGCTTTCCTGAAGTGGGCTGTGTGGTTAAAGCAACATATATCTTTGAAATTATAAAAATACAATTTTACAAGATAAAATGTTTAATAGTTAAAAAATAAAATGCTTTGAAACATTAAGCAATTTTTAATTGGAGGAAAGTGTGTTATAATCCACAGTCTTTCTACTGAATAGATCCTCAATTAAGGAGCAATAGTCAAGAATCATTAAAGACTTAGAAGTATCTATATGTAAAAGCTGAGTAAGTTGCAAAGAATGTTAAAATAAATATCTGACACAGAAAGACTGATGTTAACATTAAATGTAGAGAGACGAGTTAAGATGGCAGAGTGGCATGGAGACCCTGAGCTGGTCTTGTCCCTGAAATGCAGCTAGATCAGCACCAAACTATTTTGAACACCTAGGAAACTGATCTGGGGTTAACACAACAATCGGCATAACTTGAGCCACAGACTCATCAGGTACATGGTGTGGAGAAGTGAACTGGGGGAGAGAAAAGCATGGAGAGTAGAGAGCTGTTTTTGCAAAGAGAGGACAGAGAAAGAGAAGGGGGGAGAGTGTGGCACATTGGGGTCACGAAAGAAAAGCACTCCCTGAAAGTAGCTGGAGAGAAAGAGTGAAAACACTTGCAGGGGACTGAACAAGAAATCTGTTACCCAAACCATTGATGGGAAGAAATGAGAGGGCTTCAATACCACCAGGAGTCTATAAACAGTGGAGCTCAGAGTCTGAAGTTTTAGAGCTCAGTGCCTGGCAGTGCTCTGGTGAGGAAGTAGGGCAAATCCCCAGGAACAGGCAGCAGGGTCTGAGGTACTCATGTGCCACATGGAGAGAAGCTGTTCCCCTGCTTGGAGTGAATTTGATAAAGGCCATATGGCCTCCCCACAGGCAAAGGTGCTGGTGGACCCCCTGGAGAGCATCCACATGTCTGGTATTGGGACAAAGATGTAAGAGTACAGTGAAACCTGGCACTGGCTGTGTTGTGATTTGCCATAATCTCTGAACTTCTGCAGCTGAGTGATTGCCTGAATGTTTTCTGGGACAAGCTACTGCTCAGTGAGACCTTCCCCAAGAGAATTGGCAGGTCCAAGCCACAGGGGTCTCTGAAGTGTGTGGTTTTGAAACACAACCCCATTGGAGATAAAACTATGAAGGGAGGTGTCCAAGGCAGCTTGGACACAGGGTAGAGGCAGGGAGTGGACAGAGTCCTGAAACAATGAAGGGGTGCTTGATAATGGGTTGGTGAGAATGAAAAGTTCCCATGGATGAAGCCATTTCCACCTCTCCTGCACATGCGCATGTGCACTCATGTTCATGCACACCATACTGATTCACTCCAGTATGCTAAACTGAGTAATGTTACCTAGTGGAAAATGGAACCATTACACCAAACCCTGCCCAACTGCACCCTCCAAGCACATCCCCTAGAAGAACAGCACAAGTCACTCCACCTGCTCAGAGTATAGTCTATAGAGGGCTTCATAGTTTCAGTTCTAGGGGAAACTAGATGTAACTTCATTTGGGTTTCATTCACTTTGCTGGTTCATTTATTTGTTTTCTTTGCTTCTGTTTTCGCTTAAATTGTTCTTTTTTCCATTCGTTCTTTCTTGCATACAGAAAGAGAAAATTTTATTTTTCTTTTTTTACCTTATTTTTTATTTTTTTAAATATTCATTCTATTTCATTTTATTCTATTTTATCATATAATTTTTTATTTTTAATTTTTATATTACCTCCCCCCCCTTTTTTCTCTATTCTATCAAGCTTTTTTCTTTTTTTTTTTTTTTTTTTTCCTATCAAGCTTTTTTCAATAAGCAGACCAAAACACACTTAGGATATATCTTCCTTTATTTGATTTTTTTGTTTTGTTTTTACTTTCTAATTTTAATTTTTTTTTTAATTTTATTAATTTTTTTCTTCTTCCAAAAGAGCAAAACAAGGAAATTCACTCTAAATAAAGAATAGGAAGAAATGATAGCCAGGGGCTTAATCAACATAGATATAAACATAATGTCTGAACTAGAATTTAGAATCACAATAACCTGGGGTTGAAAAAAACATAGAATCCTTTTCTGTGGAGAAAAAAGAAATAAAATCTAATCAGGATGAAATTAAAAATGCTATAACCAAGATGCTATCTCTAATGGGTGCCATGATGGCAAGGATGGAGGAAGCAGAGCAGCTAATCAGTGATAGAGAAGATAAAATTAAGGAGAATATTGAGGCAGAAAAAAGGAGGGAAACAAAGGCAAAAGATCATAGTACAAAACTTAAAGAACTAAGTGACTTAGTAAAAAGGAATAACATCTGGGTTGCCTGGGTGGTTAAATCAGTTAAGCGTCCAACTTAAGCTCAGGTCATGATCTCATGGTTCATGAGTTCAAGCCCCACCTCAGGCTCTGTGATGACAGCCTGGAACCTGGAGCCAGCTTCAGATTCTGTGTCTCCCTCTGTCTCTCTTTCTCCCTTGCTCATGTTTTTTTTTTTTTGTTTGTTTGTTTTATTTTCCTCTCTCTCCCTCCCTCTCTCTCTCTCTCTCCCCCTCTCTTTCTTTCTCTCTCTCTCTCTCAAATAAACATTAAGAAAAAGAAAAGGAATCACATCCAAAGTATAGGAGTCCGAGAATGTGAAGAGAAAGAAAAAGGGTCAGAAGGCTCCTTGAGCAAATGATAGCAGAAAACTTTTCTAATCTGAGGAAGGACACAGACATCAAAATCCAAGAAACACAGAAAACTCCCATTAGATTCAACAACAACTGATGATCACCAAGGCATATCATAGTCAAATTCACAAACTAAACAGACAAGGAAAGAATTATGAAAGCAGTAAAGGAAAAAGTCTTTGTAAGGGAAGACAGATCAGGTTTGCTTCATACCATCCACAGAAACTTGGCAGGCCAGAAAGGATTGGCAGGTTGTATTCAACATGCTGAATTGGAAAAACTGTGCAGCCAACAAGTCTTTATCCAGCAAGGCTGTCATTCAAAATAGAAGGAGGTATAAAGAGTTTCCCAGAAAAATAAAAACCAAAGGAATTCATGACCACTAAACCAGCCCTGCAATAAATTTAAGGGGGACCCTTTGAGTGGAAAAAAGACAAAATAAAAAAGACCAAAAGCAATAAAGACTAGAAAGGACCAGAGAACATCACCAGAAACACCAACTCTCGTGGCCATGCCCCAACTTGGTCGGTCGGTCTCTCTCTCAAAAAATTAATAAACATAAAAATTTAAGGATCTTAAAATGGGGAGATTATCCTGGATTATCTGAGTGGGCCCTTTGTAATCATAAGGGAAGGAGGATCAGAGTTAGAAACAGGAAATGTTTTCAAGAACAGAAGCAAAAATTGCAGTGATGCAAGAAAGGAGTCTTCAGTCCAAGAATGCACATGATCTGTAGAA